GATGTCTTCTGTGATGCCTTGAATGAATTTTATACTTGACATCCAGTACTTAAGCTCATCATAAAGGGGTTGCCATCGCTTATAAATCCACAAGATTCTTTCAGGTGCAGGGCTTATAAGCTGTTTATTAATTAAAAGTAAGTTTTTGATCCCTGTACGAACTGAAATGCCTTCTCCATGCCCTCTGATAACTCATCCATTTCGGAGGGAGGAGGAGGAGTAGAAGTGAAATGAGGAAGAGAAGTGAAATGAGGAGGAGGATGAGTGAGAGAAGGAGGTGGTTGAGTGATTTGAAGATATGGTTCACTGTCCCCATGAGCAGTTCGCATATGTCTCCTTAGATTATCAGTGCGTGAAAATTCCAACTGGCATATAGAGTTGGTGTTGACTTCATGACTGCTTGGTAGGAAATGACGGAAAGATGTTAAATAGACTCTTTATATTTGTAGTTCACGTTTTTCTACCCAGGAATTAAACTTCTTTGGATATCCTTGCCATTTTACTAAGACTTCTACCTTTCTTCTTCGTCGGCGCCGTTTTCAGATTTTCCCAATCTTCCACAAGTCATCTCTGGATTTGTTGACTCTTTGAAACTCAGATTCATAAAAGGTTCCCTCGATATGGTCGTTGTCATAATCTGTAATTTTGTAGACTGGTATCCCTTGACGTAAGAATCTCATGTGTATTATAGAAACTTCTTCTGTCCATTTCTGTTCAAAATCCCTCTGGAAAATGTGCTTGGTGCTTGATATTCTTACATAATCTCCCATTTTAAATTTGAAACGCTTACGTGGTTTGTGCGCTTTCTTTTTGAAAACGCTGGGTTTTAAGACATCTACATATAATTTCTTCCAGGTCACCGCTTCATTTGTTTTATTTATATCTCTTGGTGATAAGTGGTTCATTGATCTGTGTGGTCGACCGTTATAATTTTGGACGATGCCTTGTAGAACGTCTGTAAATCTATGTGTTCTATTATGGGTGAAATATCGATACATCATGACTTTGAGAGACCGAATTAGCCGCTCGGCATAATTCTCATGAGTGACGTTCTGTGTGACGTAATGATCAACTCTTTGTCTTCTTAAATGTCTTTGACCCTTCGATTTCTAAATTCGCGTCCTTTGTCTGTTCTGATTTCTTTGAGTTTACGTCCCGTTTTGAAAATGTCATTTAAAGCATCTATTATACCGCCATGTAGTTTGTTTTTTAAAGGTCTAAATCAAGCATATCTTGCAAATACGTCAATGGCGATGAGTAAATACTTTATATCATTATTGTCTTCTGAAAGTCCGGAAACGTCCGCTAAATCTACATCCCAAAGGAAGTCGATACCCTGGGAAATAACCTTATTCATCTTAAATTTATATCTCTGCGGACGTTGAAGACTGTAGGCATCAATGTCTTGCAGCCATTGTTTAATAGCAGTCAAACCTGCTTTATATTTACCTTCCCTCTTTAAGTAACGATAAATTTCCGTAGGACCTGCGTAGCTAATAGGATTTTTCACATCAAAATAGATATTTTTAAGTATTCCTTTCAGTTCATTGTTCTTCTGAATAATGCAACCAGATTATAAACAATTTGTTTTATATGTATTGTAACTCTGTTGCTCATTCTTTATCTGTTATTATTATATAAGTTTGGATATCTTTACTAGTCAATAGCTCTCAAATAGAATGCAGAGTTTAAATTCCACTGTGTTAGGGACTAAGTATAATAGATATCCGGTCGTCGAGAAGTCTGCAGTGACACTCATCGCCATAGGTCATCTTTCCACCGTATTGATCGCACTGGTAATTTAAATGACAAGTGACCTACTTCTCCGATATCCCTTAATACTATCCATAGTGAGGAATATCTTCCTATATCATTCATTGTGAGGGATGACCTGAGGGATGTCTTCTATTTTCTTATATGAGGGATTGGTGATGCAGAACTTTCCTTTCTCATTCATCATATGAGTTTGTTTTGAGTAGCAGCAGCACTATGAATTATAGTAGCAATTAAATGGCTCTGAGAAAACGCCATGTTCATTGCCGAAAGATTCGGAATTAACAGGTTCCAGTCATCCCATAAAATGGAGAAGAGACATACAACTGACCCACGACCAACATCCCTACATCTTTATCCTATTTACTGGGTAATTGAAACACTTAAAAATTACTCCAAAGCCCTCTTCCTAATTTGAATGTCTTCAAGATACCAAATGCAGCAGACCAAATATATGCCATTTTCTTCAACTGATATTGAAATATGCAAGTTTATAAGGAATTAAGAAACATATTTTATATCATGCGTTTTCGAATAAACCCAAACTGTGTATGTAGATGAATGTTTCCTTGTATAATATTGATCCTACATGAAGGAATGTTTCTTCGCTTTATTAAAAGATTAAGACTTAAAGACCTAAAATGTCTTTATTGGATCTACACTTGAGGCAGACTTTGATGTTGACATTTTTATAACTGTACACATACCAAATCTTTTAACAAGGGATGCTCTTTTCTCTAATTTAAATCATACTCTCAAAAAGTGATCCAACTTACATGTAAGCTTATAATAACATAACTGAACATTGCAATCTAAACCTTTATTTGTGTTACTGTGTAGAAACCTTAAATTTATTCTTAGCCATTTGACATGTGAACCATAAACACTAATCAAAATTTTTTCCCAAAAAAACCAAAAATATATTTCGGCTAAAAAGTTTCTCTTTGTATACCCTGCACCCGAAAGGCAATACAGCCAGAGCTTATAATAATAAATCTACACGTAACAATTCATTCAGAAACTTAATTGTTGTTACCGTATAAAAGATGTACACTTAACCAAACTTCTAAGTGTTCACCTAACATTTTTTAAGTTTTAAAGAACAAATGCATACAATAAATATTTTCTTTAATTAATGGTTAATGATGCATATTTAAGTTCGATGTCGCGTAAATTTCATGTAAGTATCTCGTCAGAATTTTAAGCAAAGTGTCAAGGAAATGACGTATACCCTCAAAATGAAAATTCACACAAAAAAATCTCTATGGAGTAAGATTATCACTCGCTTTAATTATTACAAGACAATCTTTACTGTTGAAAACCATGTAACCCTAAATAGAAGATTGACCCATCTGCTGCCACACCTACTGCAAAAGATCTTTTCAAACCGTTGAAATTGTGTGGAAGGGGGGTTGACATTCCTAATAAAAAACCCAAAATGTGTTCAATGGGATTCAGATCCGGGAATTTGACAGTGTATCATCACACAGATGCCTTTTGGTCAATATCTTAGGGTGTTTAGCACGTAAGTGCACCTCTTTAAGGAGGATTCAGACTGCTTGAGCTGATATTAGACTGTCACGAGCACCAATTTCTTATCATTTTCATACGATTGAAATTGTTTGTTTTCATGTTTCTAAGATTGTTTCAGGACAATTTAACACTCTTTTAACCTGGTGTGACGCGAAATTTTGGCTTCAGGCAAAGATCAAGGTCACTTCCAGTTTGGTTAAATTTTGTCCTTTTTTGTAATTTAACTTTTATATTGTGATAAATTGGCGATGAAAAATGACGCACAGTTTATAGAAAAATGTTTTAAATGGGTTTTGATACTGGTTGTTAATTTTTAAAAGTAATATCAAGTACAATTAAACATTAAAATAAAAGTGAGTAAAACGCGGTGCAAGTATAGTCCAGATATCAACATTCCAACGGCTCTTCCTTCTATCTCAATGCTCATTTTGCCAATGTTTTTTTTTTTTTTTTAGTGAAACCAGTTTTAAAAAATTGATAATGATCACGAAAAATGCTAATTACACAAAACATGTGCCTCAAAGTACAGATTTATTGCTTTTATTAAGCTTCGTCACGGAACATTGGTTTTCATCGGTGATATTTTATTTTCTTTCTACAAATGTTGAGGAAACTCGTTTGTTGTAATAATTTGAAAATGTCATATCATTCTATAAAATAGTTTTTAAATAAATGCATTTATTAAAGTGAACACGTAGAAGTTTTGTTAAGTGTATATTTTCTCCACTTGACTGTTTGGGTTCCATCCTGTCAATCTAAATCTCTAGATTTTTCCTTACTGAAGGGAAAATGGCTGGACATTCAACAGTATTTTTTTTTATTTATCCCCTAACACTGTTGCATATAGCATGTATAGGATGACAAGATCCTACAGTTATTTCACACCGGTCTGTGGAAGGTGTGTGACTCAATCTGAATGACTCGGTAGTGTTTTTTTTCCATATCTTTTAATGTTAAAGTTCAAACAAGAAAGGTCAGAGAGCGAAACGTGGCCTGAGAAATTCAGTTTCGCTGTAGTTAAAAGAATATTGAATTAGTATTCGAAAAGTTATATCATTAAAATGATGTTATATAATGCATTTTGCGTTGTAAACCGTTGTTTTCCTGTTCCTGATTAGGTGCTTACTGCTGAATATGCTTCAGACAAATTGATTATCAAAACCTGGTTGAAAAATCGTCCAATCTGATTAAAATCAAATCTTTGTTACGCTCCGAAATGCTGATGATCACTGTACGATTGAATTTAAAATTGTATTCTGTGGGTTCATAATATTTTTTTTTTGCTACTGTACTGTGGGTTCATAATTATTTGCTGCTTTGATTTCACAATTATATGAAAACGTTTTAAATTCTGTGGATCTATTTTTATATGCTGGGGTTCTATTGTTATATGCTGTGGGTATCATTATAATTCATAAATATTTTAATCAGTGTAAAGAGGTCAAATACACAGACATCCATTTTTAAAATCATAATACAAACACAATATTAAATTGGGCGTTTTAAATTCTTGTAACTACATGTATGATGCTAAATTTCAATTATTTTTCACAGCTAGTAATTAAAATGCTTTTGCATACTCATGAAATTCTCATTGGAATTATCCAGCCAAGTTTTCAAATAAATTTGAAATAAATGCTGTTACACAAACCGTTATAATTTGACAAAAATTATTTGAAATACACCATGCACTATACATTCTACAGATTATACATTCTTAGCGGTTTCGATAACTTTTCTCCAAAACATTGCGTCACAGTATTCGTCGTCTGGGAATTCAATATATGATTTCTCTTTTATAACATTCATAATTTGTAATGGAATTTTGCCAGCAGGAATTGGTTTATAAAAGATAATCACCAGAACACTCTGGTCATCGCGGGAATATATCTCTTCCATTTTAGCGATGTGCATTTCATACATACACCAGCTGGAGTTGATGAAATTTGGAGATAAAATAATTATTGTTTTCCTGCTTTTGTTGACGGCGGTGATGATGTTCTCGGCAATGTCATACCCTGGGACAAAATCTCGATGGTGAATACATAAACGTATTTCATTATTTCTTTCAAATTCCCAAATCATTTTCTGAACAAACGGCAAATCTTCATCGGCATAGGAAACAAAGGCATCGTATTTAAAATTTGATTGGCTATCACTTCTAACAGCTTTATATCCATGATAACGACTTTTCGTCATGTAAAAGAAGTATCTTAGTTTCCATCTATATCGATAAAAGATTCCAATTGCCAATGATATGACAAATAAAAATATAAGCGTGGACATCATAAATATCAAAGTTGTGTAGGTATTGCATTTTTTCCTCAGCTCTCCAATTACTTTAGAGTTAGTGAAATTCATAACTTGTCCGTCATGAGACTCCTTCTCGCAAAAGTATTGTTCGTATGATTCGAATATTATCTCCCCTGATGTTTGACTATGAACTATCCATGTTAGAAAATTTAGGCTTTTGCAGGCACACAAAATAGGATTTCCAGAAAGGTTAATTGTTAAACTTTTTCCCATCCTATGTTGATCTATAGCTTTCATGTCTGAATCGGAGAGATATTGAATTTGATTCAAAGATAAATCAAGAACCCTTAGTGACCTTAAATATCTAATATCAAAATCAATTCCAGTTAACAAATTGCTACTGAGGTCTAAATATTTAAGACTTTCGAGACTTTTGAACACAGCGCTTGGTAAGTGTGAAATTTTGTTTGCTTTTAAATCTAAAACACTCAAACTTTTGAGATTTCTGAATATTTTTCCATCTGTATCAGACGAAAGACTAAAACGTAGCAAGTTATTGCTCAAATATAATTTCTGAAGAGAATCACCGTTTTGGAAGAAACTTTCATAGACTTTTGCACAGAAATTATTTGACAAATTAACAATTTTTAGATTGTTAACTCCACTGATTGGGCCCATCCAGGAATATAAAATGTTGTCTTGTAAATACAAATTTTCCACTTTATTCCTAGAGAAATTAAAGCTTTTTATTCTATAATGTAAACCGCTTTGATTGAAGAAAATTGATTTTAAATTCTCTGGTAATGAGATGTTAAAAACGATGCTTAATTTTTTTCTCTGAAAAATGTCAACCATTTTTACCTTCATTTCTTGCTTTATATTTCTTTTCAACCTTGATTTATTGCCAAGATCGAATGTGTTATGAGAAAGATCATTTTTTGATATAGAAAGTGAAGTTTTCTTCTTAACCAATGTATCATGACATGGTCTGTTATAAATAAAATCATAAGGGCTATGGGTTATACCTTGTGAGCTCGCTTCCAACCATTCTAATCCTTTCATTGAGGAAATATCAAAGACATAATAACCAAATGACAGGTTGTTATCAGCGATAGATACTCTTTTAAGACTATCAGGTAAAAATGAAAGTGCTCTATTTTCAAAAAGTTCAATTCTATTACTTGAAATATCAATTTCCTTTAAGTTGGTGTATCGAAGAAATCTTAAATCTTCTATTTTTACCTCTAAACCTAATCCAAATGTACAATGGATTTTATTCAAACGGAGAACTTCAATAGAAGAGTTTTGAAGGCTGCTCAAATAGGGCATTACCGGAAACGTAAGTTCAGGGTTGTCGGACAAATCTAGGTTTCTTATACTGATTAAATCTGCAAAAATGTTTTTGGAAAGGTTACTTGTAATCCTAAAGCGATTGGATTGCAATTTCAGATCAGTCAGCCTCTGTAGTCCTTGGAAAGCTTCATTGGTAAATTCATTTATGACATTATTAGAAAGATCCAAGTAATCTAAGTCATCTGGAAGTTTGGATCGGTTCGGAAGTCGATTCAAATTGTTATGACTGAGATTGATTTTCGTGACATTCGACCAGAATAGAGGTGACCTTGAAAGACCCAGCTTGGAACAGTCGGCGTAAATATCTCCTTCAGAATAATGACATCGACATGACGAGGAAGAGGCACATGTACTACCATTCACGCCACTTCTAAGAATTATCACCAAGATTGTTATTTCCAGCACCGAATTCTTCCAATTCATACCTGTTGAGTAATGATTACAACCTTGAAGATGAAATGATTATGACAATCAAAGTTTTTCTCTCTTGTAATTTTAATTTCTTTTTATTTTATAAAAAAAAAATATTAACCGTTGTAGTTAATATATGCTTCTATAGAAATAATTTTCGTACTTTTTAAATTGTTTAATATAAGGTTATCTTTAAAATATTGCTTATTTTTGAAATAAAACTTCGGTTTCAAACTAAATAATTTTGTTTATAAGATATTAACCACCCTCCTCCGAACAAACAAGTTACTTGCTCGAAAATGCATTCCTTTTCCTGCAAGTACACATCACATCGATTAGAAAGAAAGGATGTAACGGCTCAGTTGTATAAGCATATACATGTGAGCATTTTAAGACATCATTCTAAAGTAATCTAAAATCGTCATTTACAAAACAAAACGAATCTAAAATCATTTTTCTGTTTTATTTATACAATAAAATGCTCTCAGCACTGGATTTAAATGTAATATTGCAGCTTTTGCAGAAACAAATACGTATGCAAAAGCTGCAGCTGCAGCATTAATTCCCGTACTAGCACACACGAAGAAAGGCATTTTATAGTTTGAATTCATATCTGTACAAACAGTCATTCAAAGTGGGATTAAGTAAATGAAATGTGGTTATTATATAAAAACGTCATTGTACGTCATTGTACGTTTCATTGATGATTGACTAATTATGAAAACTAGTTTATGTCATACTAAAACGTTTAATGATTAAAGTTGAACATGCAAAGCGTATTTAAAATAACTTATAATTGTTTAATTTTAAATGTTTTTTAAACTATTAACATATGTGGGATGAAGAGACAATTATACAGATATAAAGTATACTTACGTAACATTATGCCTGTTACACCTTTAGTTACCTTCATGTTACATTATGATTATATTTTATAGAAGAACGTCCTCCTCCAAAGAACAAATAACAACAATCAATCTTTTCTGTAATTTCCTTTATAATAGAGTTCTTTTTCTCATTAATTGATTGGAAAAAACTTCCTTTTACTGATAAGATATTGCAAATTGATTTTGACTTCCTCAAAATGTCCATACACAGGTTAATCTCTGGCGATATTTTTTATCTTAAAGCTTCTCATTTTCAAACATGCCGAGATAAAAGGTTTCTCTTATCACTCAACTGCTCAATGGCTGTGACTTGATTAATACTTTGTGAACAACCATACGTTTTTGTTAGATGTATTAATACGCTTATATTGTTTCTATGATACTGGTCAATGACGATAGGGATTATTTTTGTTTGTATAAAAATATGTTTAAGAAGCGGTACTCTTTGATCCGAAGACCAAAAATTTTTCTTTAATGGATGATGTACGCTTGTAAATAACCAGTTTACATTTTTTATAACTGTTCACAAAGCAAATTTTACTTTTAAGGAGAGATATATTTTTTTTCCTCTAATTTATACCATGTACCAAACTGCATCAATACACTTAGAATAAGTTAACTAAACATCACAATTCAAATTTTTATTTCTGTTAAGAATCGAAATCATAAGTTTTTTCTCCCGATTCGTTCAAAAGCCAAACATGGATTTCAGTATTTGGAGTTTCTTTTTAAAACCCTACACCAAAAGGACAGTCAAAATCAGTACATTCTAAACAACTTGTACATCACAAACCACAGCCTTGATTGTGTTTCAGCAGCATGAAATGAAAAAAATACCCCTGTTTTTGAAAAAAAAAAATGAAAAAAAAAACAGTCTTCAAATTCATGTTATGTATTTGTACCTACAGTATTGTGCCATTAGTGATCGTCCAAATTCACGTGCAATGCGTATTATTTGGTGTTTTAGTAAACTTTATCTGCATACTATAAATAAACAAAGGTACTACTGTCAGAGAAAATGACGCTATTTTAAGAATGTCCTCGTGACTATCACGTGACAAATTTTCACGTCACAAACTCTCGTCTGCTGCGTATATTGTCAATGTAAACAACATGGCTCCTGCTCGGAAAGAGTTGAGCAATGATGTCAAAGAAACAGTTATTTCTTTGTATCGGACGGGACTTAAACAACGAGAAATTTCTCGAAGATTGGAAATACCCTGCACAACAATTACGTCTGTGATTGATCGTTTTCGGAAGCGAGGTAATATAGAAAATCTACCAAGAAAAGGGAAGAAGTCAAAACTGGATGAAAGTTTAAGAGATGCACGACAACTTTTGAGGCCAGTAAAAGAAAACAGAAAACGAAGTTTGTCCGATTTTACTGCATTATTTTACCAAAATAGAGTATATCTACTGTTTCAAAACGAACTGTGCAGAGAACTTTATATAAGCAGGGGTATTTCAGGAGAGTTGTAAGAAAACGAATCCGAATTCGTGAAGTCAATCGTAAAGCTCGGCTTTCTTGGTGCAGAGGCAATCGCTACAAAACTGTCGACAATTACTGGCAGAGAGTAATATTCAGTGATGAATGTAAAGTAGACATTGGATCTGACAGTCGCGTATTTATCTGGAGAAAGGTCGGCGAGGACTGGTTGTTTATCGCAACCTCCAACGCCCAAGTTCAGTTTGGTGGTATGGGGATGTGTAACCTTTAATGGTGTAGGCACACTTACTGTCGTAGATGGCAATATAAATGCCCAAAAATATATTGATATCATTGATGAGCACTTGTGGCCGGTTATTGTACGTCATTTTCCAAGGAATAATTACATCTTCCAAGACGACAATGCACCCATACATAGAGCCCGTTTAGTGCAAGAATTCAAGATACAAAATAACATTCACTCTATGGTCTGGCCAGCCCAAAGTCCCGATTTAAACATTATAAAGAATGTATGGCTCAGAATCAAAAGAGAACTAAGAAATGGCGACAGAATTATCACCTCTAAAAATGAGCTGGAGACGGCCATTAGACGGGTGTGGACTAATATCCCGGTTAACTACATCCAGAGTCTTTACAGGTCAATCCCCCTGAGAGTACAAAGAGTATTACGATCAAAAGGTTACATAACAAAATATTAAGGTAAGAAAGTTGATTGTTTATTTTTTATTCCAAGTTTTTTTTAATCAAGCGAGTTGCGCAATAGCGGCGGCCATTTTGAATTTGGACGATCACTAATGGCACAATACTGTAGTTTCACGTCCCTATCGAGAATTTTCTCTCATATGGAGACGCCAACACTTGTCGGTGGAGAGCTGCAAATTTTGTCTTCAATTACGTCCATTGAGCTTCGCGGTTTATAAAGCGACAACTGTCCCAAGTTGTGTTATATCGTATGACAAAGGTTAAAATAAGCCTCATTCTTTAAATTAATTTTAAATGACACTCCAAATTAATTGAATGTTAAACGTCACGAACATTGTAATTAATGACCTGCCTGACCATAGGTTCTCACGGGTAATGGGAACTAATCCAGATACCCAATCGTGTATAAAAGCAACAAGAGAGCAAAAAATCCACCGACACTCTTTGATTGAAAATATATTTATTCAAATTAATGAAATGGATTGAAAAGCAGTCATAAATGTCTATGATGGTTTTCTCCATAGCTGAAGGTACAATTACATGTACATTTAAACATTGAATGAAAGGTGTGAATGTACACAATGCATTATCAATTGGTACATATTAAGAATGAATCCAGAAAGGGAGAGAGAAAGAGAATAATAGATTTAAGTATAAGTCACATTATCCAACGACGGGGTATACGATGAGAAACCGATGCGTTTTTTGATGAAAATGGCGTGGTTGCCGGCCGGGCACCACTAGTGATCGGACGGCGACTGAGTCTTTTTTTGCGGATCGGTGGGGTCATCGGTAGGGAATAATTCGTAGTTAAAATTCAGCGATGTCCCCAACGATGCCTCACATCGCTCCTTATCGGCAACCCATCATTAACACATCTTTTAAGGATCGGCCGATGTATGGCCGAGCAGCGTCAAATATCCGTTGAATCTGAGGTCATCGGGGAGTTTAGTGGTGTTCAACAGTTAACGACCGATCATCAGTCGATGTTCGACCAAACATTGGCCCCTAGTCGACCGACATACGAACATTGTTCACCAATGTATGAACGATGTAATATACATCGGCTGATTATCCTGGAACATCGTTTTTTGATTAGCAATGCATCGCTGGGCCTTTGTAAGTCCGACCGGCAACCACGCCATTTTTCTCATAAACACCCATTCTCAATATAAGGGCACAAATGCCTCTCTGATTTTTTAAAAAATAAAGTTCAAGATAACAATTTTTCTATCAATTACCTTTGAAAGAAAGTATCTTAAGATTTTGTTTCCAGATTTTTTTTCATCAAATTTTAATACATGGAATAATGACAAGACGGTAAAGTAGAGAGTGATTTTATTCAGAAATGTAGCTTGAAATGTACGTTACTCTTTCTTCAATGTCCAAAAAGATATGTCCAAAAAAATGTAGTCATTAAAATCACAATTGGAATATCTCATCTTAACACCAGCACATCCTACCAACTCTGTCAGCAACATATTTTCTCGGCATACGAACGTGCGTTTGATTTTTCCTTTCAAAAAACAAAGGTTACTTTTTGACCCAGATGTATAAAAACATTTTTCATAATATATGCTTTAAATTCTTCTCTCTATTTTGTTTAGAGCGATCAGTTTGGAATCTTGTCATTTTCTATAGATATTGAAACTTAACATGTACATGTAGTAAAATTCTATTTTGAAGTTACTGTCTTTTTTAACATATATCCATGCCGATTTAGAAAACTACGTAAATATAACGTACATTTCAAGATACATTTCTGTTTAATAAAGAGCTTAAAATTCATCTAAAAATCCATCGTTTTGTTTCAGTTTATTCCAAAAAAGATTCTCTATGTAATCACATTGTCTTATATGTCACAATCACCACTATAAAGACACGATTGCCTCAGAATATGAGTAGGTAACGTACATTTCAAGCTTGTAATAATATGTAAATTAGTAATAAGTAAATATTGAAAAAAAAGCAATTAT